TTAGAAAAGGTTGTGAATTGGTGAGCGTTGTTGAGGATTGGACAGATCAAGATCATATCTAGTATGGTCTTTGGTCGAGACCGTGGAAAACGCTGGAAGAGAGCAACTTAGGTTCCACCGACAGTGTTTCGAGTTAGGTTGCGAAATGTTGAGAAAAGTCGATAGTTGTTGCCAATGTAGTCAAAATCACGATTTTAGGTTTCTAGTTCACTAAAACGCTTCTACACAAAATCTCAGTTTTTATAACTTATCTAGTTAAAAACTCCGCTTTAAAACATAAAAACTTACGATTTTAAACTTCTAGATAACATTTCTACGTAGAAACTCGCTTTTGACTACATCAATGTTCAAGAAGACGCTGGGCGCCACCTAGGCGAGGAGGCACCGCCCAGCGCCCAGGCCGATTAGTCGTTGCCTAGGCGAGATTAAACGTCGAAAAAAAAATATGATAAATATGTAAGTTTAGAGTGCAAGATCAAACATAACATTCATAATCATGTCCTTGAATTATGTCCCTGAATTAGCAATCTACTAGGTTTCACTTCCACACATTTTCAGCAGCCTTTCAAATCATTAGAGACACAGTTTAATTAGCCTCTTGACACACAATTTAATCAAGTAGCCCCTGTCAAATGCCAATTCTTATTATCTTTATCATCTAAAGAAACTAGAGAATCAAGCAGCCTCAAAATTCGACCAAACAAAATCAGAATAATAACACAAGAAAAAACCAAATTTTGTAATGGACGAGTCACGTCTTAAGAGGTCTTGATTCCTGAATTTTCCAACCTCTTAAGCATCGCCATCATCACCACCACCATCCCATTAGCCCAGACAAAGAAACAAACCTTTCTACTTCCTTACCTATTTGGCCGTTTGATATTTTCCAACCTCTATTGATCCTATTTAGAAGAGTTAGTACCTTCAATGCTTCAGACCGACGGCGAGGATGAGTCACGGCTGGGTACTGGCGATGCTGGAGACCGACGGCGAGGACGAGGCGCGATTGCCTATGGCCGACGGCGCGCGATTCTGGAGACTGGCGGAGAGGACGCTGCAGCCGGTGACGAAGCCCCCTGCTGGAGGCGGTCGACTTTTGAAGACGGCTGGAGCGGTCGACTGTTGGAGAGAAGGGAGAGAGCCGAGAGGTGACGAAGGAGAGAGACGGTCGACTGTGGGTGCTCGAAGAACCCATTAGGGTTTTCCCCTATTCTTCCCATCCAAAACGCACAACATGGTAAATTTTTTTTTTTCTGGGCGTCGCCCACAGCTTGGAATCGCCGATCCACGCTAGTACTCGCCGCCTAGGCGTTCTTCAACGCGATTCCGCGTTTATTGCGCCCAGCCACTTCGCCCAGGCTTCCTCTCCACTTTTCCTCCTCGCCTAGCTACTAAACGCGCCTAGGCGAGCGCCTAGGCGAGTGTTCTTGAACACTGGACTACATTGGCTGCTGCAATAGCGAGTTGAAAACCTAGTAGGCAATAATTGTTATGGAAAATACAATGAACAATAGATTTAAACCTAGTGAACACCCATGTGTTTGGGTTCAATTATGATCATGCTCAACAAAAAGGAAAAAGAGAAAGAAGAAAACACTAAACATGATGAAACTCGAACCCGATATAAAACTCGTGGTAGCGACCTTGGGTAATGGTGGTGGAGAACAACTTAGAATTCCGCCGCCAGTATTTTGAGATGGGTTGCAATGGTTGGCAAAGGCGATGATTTGGGTTTGGGTTCAATTGTGATCATGCTCAACAAAAATGAAAAAAAAAAGAAATAAAAAAACACTAAGGAGAATGAAACTAAGTCCCGATACAAAACTCGTGGTAACGGCCTTGAGAAATGGTGGTGGGGAACAAATTAGGATTCCGCAGAAAGTATTTCGAGATGGGTTACAAAGTGGTTGACAAAGGCGATGATTTGTGTTTGGGTTCAATTGTAATCATGCTCAACAAAAAGGGGGAAAAAAGAAGAAAAAACACTAAGGAGGATTAAACTCGGTCCCCATACAAAACTCGTGGTAGCGGTCTTGGAAAACGGTGGTGGGGAACAACTTATGATTATGCCGATAGTATTTCGAGATGAGCTGCAAAATGCTGGGCAAAGACGATGATTTGTGTTCAAGTTAGAATACCCATGTGCTTGTGTTCAATTGTGATCATGCTCATCAAAAAGCAAAACAAAAAAGAAAAAACACTAAAGATGATGAAACTTTATCCCGATATAAAACTCGTGGTAGCGGCATTGTGAAATGGTGGCGGGGAACAACTTAAGATTTGTCGACAATATTTCAAGATGAGTTGCAAAATGGTGGGCAAAAGCGATGATTTGTGTTCAATTTAGGATACCCATGTGTTTGGTTTCAATTGTAATTATGCTCGGCGAAGGGGAAAAAGAGAAAGAAAAAAACACTAAAGAGGATGAAAGTCGGTACCGATACAAAACTCGTGGTAGCATCATTGAGAATCGGTGGTGGGGAACAACTTAGGATTTTGCCGACAGTATTTCGAGATGCGCTACAAAATGGTGCAAAAATCCATAGACGAAAACCTAGCGAACAATAACTAAACACAAAGGTTGTAGAATGAAGAGTGGGGTAAAAGAAGGACTTGGAACTCCCCCACTTACACTTGGAAGAGTGTGAGAGCAACTAATAAATAGTAACTTGCAACCTAGGCTTTTATATATTAAAAATTAATATAAAACTCGTGGTAGCGATCTTCTGAAATGGTGGCGGGGAACAACTTAGGATTTTGCCGACAGTATTTCGAGATGTGCTGCAAAATGGTGGGTAAAGGCGATGATTTGTGTTCAACTTAGGATACCCATGTGTTTGTGTTCATTTGTAATCATGCTTAGCAGCAAAAAGGAAAAAGTGAAAGAAAATACACTAAAGAGGATGAAACTCGGTCCTGATACAAAAATCGTGGTAGCGTGATTGGGAACCGGTGGTGGGGAACAACTTAAGATTTTGCGGACAGTATTTCGAGATTAGCTGCAAAATGGTGCAAAAAGCCATAGACGAAAACCTAGCGAACAATAACTAAACACAAAGGTTGTAGAATGGAGAGTGGGGTAAAAGAAGTACTTGAAACTCCCCCACTTGAACTTGGAGGAGTGTGAGAGCCACTAATGAATAGTAACTTGCAACCTAGGCTTTTATGAGCTGCAAAATGGTGGGCAAAGGCGATGATTTGTGTTCAAGTTAGAATACCCATGTGTTTGGTTCATGCTCAACAAAAAGGAAAAAGAGAAAGAAAAAACACTAAAAAGGATGAAAACTCGGTCTTGATACAAAACTCGTGGTAGCGTCATTGGGAATCGGTGGTGGGGAACAACTTAGGATTTTGCTGTCAGTATTTCGAGATGCGCTGCAAAATGGTGCAAAAAGCCATAGACAAAAACCTAGCAAACAATAACTAAACACAAAGGTTGTAGAATGGAGAGTGGGGTAAAAGAAGGATTTGGAACTCCCCCACTTGCACTTGGACGAGTGTGTGAGATCCACTAATGAATAGTAACTTGCAACCTAGGCTTTTATATATTAATAATTAATGCATTTTTTACCAGAAAACACGAAATACGGTTATACCCTTCTTCCTTCATCTTCATCGATGCATCTCAATCTCTTCATTCGTCACGCCGGCAGAAAAGAAGCAACCCAGGCCGCCATCGCCACCAACTCCCTTCCTTCTTCTTCTTCCGCTGTCCACCATCGCCACCATCTCCCTTCCTTCTCCGTCCTTCGTCAGCCAGAGGCCCACCATCTTCGTTCCTTCTCCTTCTCCCGGAAACCAGAGGAATGGATCTCTTCAACATTCATTCCAGCCTCTCTCGACTCAATTAGATAGGCAAGAAGCCAGCAAACATCGATTCAACTTTCACATAGCCATGGTAAAAATCAGATTACCCAAATTCGAATGCCAAAACAAAAATGCAATGGTCATACAAAATCCAAACTAATCATCTCTTCAGCATAATTCAACGAACCCAATTCAGTGGCACAACAAGAAACTTAAGGATAAAGGGAATTACAGTAGAGTTGGGCTTGCTGGGAGCCAGGGGAGTGTTTGCTTGAAATCAACCCAAAAGTCAAATAAGGTGAAAGTCCAACGACAATAGTGGAATTGAGAGAGAAGAGAAGGAGGAAGATTCCTCTCTCTTCTATCGTTTGCTTTATGGCGGGTTAGAGGTTGATTGATCGATCGTGTACATACGTGGATTGATAAAAGGTGAAGGTGAAGGTGAGTTGATCGATCGTGTATATTCCTGGATCGATAAAAAAACTCGTGCTAGTGACGTGATGTGTTCACTATTGCAGGAGTGGTGGATGATGGACATCCGAATGATGCTAGTTCTACACCAGTCGTGGACATTCGTGATTTTAATATTGATAATATGGGTAAGTCGAATTGATATAGGAAAAAAAGAATGTACGAATGGAGGATACAGGAAAAAAAGCGAGAAGAACCCAAAGAATGATGGACGGATTGATAATACTGTTCGAAAACGGAGTAGGGCAGAGAACAGATGTGGGTGTCAAGCTAGGATACACTTCAAGTTGGATAAACTAACCAACCTCTATTACATTGATGATTGGGTGGATGAGCACAATCATGAGATGCACGACCCATCGGCGAAGCATCTCCATTGTTCTAACATGAATATTACTGAAGCTCAACTTTGTGTTGCTAAACTGAACGAGGCTGATGGTATAAAAACACGGGGTAGCTATGCTACATTTTGCTTAGCTGCTGGTGGTAGGGAGAATGTTGGATTCCTTCCAGAGGACTTGAAGATTTGCATTAGAACAGTGAGGGCGAAGACAATGCAGTATAGGGTGGCCTCATTCCTCTATCGACACTTTCAGGAGGAAGCTAGATGTGATCCCTCCTTCTTTTATAGGGTGTCAGTGGACGTGAACGAGGAGATGTCTGGAGTATTTTGGGCTGATGGACGAATGAGAATGTACTACCATTACTTTGGGGATTCAATAAGTTTCGACAGCACCTATCGAACAAATCAAAATTGTCGGCCGTTAGGTATGTGTTCTTGTGACATTATTAAGTATATTATACTCATGATCAAGCTCATATATGTACACTTGAAAATGATTTTACTAAAGAAATGTAGCTAAATTATTAACTATATTATACTCATTATCAATCTCATGTATGTACACTTGTAAATGATTTCATTAAAGAATTGATGCTAATATATTAATTAAACTGTACTCATTATCAATCTCATGTATGTACACTTGAAAATGATTTCATTAAAGAATTTATGCTAAATTATTAATTATACTATACGCATTATCAATTATAATATATGCATTATCAATCTTAGGCATTATACTATGCCCATGTTTGCAGCTCTATTCGTTGGATTCAATCACCATAGATCCCTCTGTGTTTGGAGCTGCTCTACTGTATGACGAGACTAAAGAGTCATTCGATTGGTTGTTTAGAACTTTTCTGGAGTGCATGTATGGAAAGAGACCAACATCCATCTTCACGGACTAGGCTGCTGCAATTGCTTCTGGTATTAAAAGCGACATCAACAACGATATATCGGATAAGAAGACTTTTCATGGCCTCTGCACATACCATCTTAGAGAGAATGGGAAGGACAAGAAGGTTTGGAAAGGTAAAGTGGCTGAATGTATTAGCTACTTGATGTATGATGTGGAGACACCGGAGCAATTTGATTTCCACTAGGAAGAAATGATGGCGGCAGTCTCACAGGGAAAGCCAAAGAAGCAGATAAGATGGTTGAATCGAATGTTTAAGGTGAAGGAGAAATGGTCATCAGCATGGGTGAACAAGCAATTCACTGCTGGAATGCGGAGTTCGTAGCTTAGTGAGGCATGCAACTCCATCCTCCGGGAGTTTTTGAATACCAATCAAAACCTACACCCGTTTTTCACTCAATTTAACGCGATGTTGGAGATAAAAAGAGCTCAAGAAGTGCACAGTGATTATACGGCGCTCGACCAGCTGCAGTGGATCGTGGTACGTTAATAATTGACCATAAAATCATTAATATTGTAAGTAAATGCATTTTGTGTGTTAATAATTGGCCATTATTTGATATTCCTGGGTACAACGGTCTATTGTAATTAAATATGTTAATAAGATAATTGAAAAGATTAATAATCTTGTTATTTATGTTGTTTGTTAATAATCCAAATGATTTAGTTAATAATAATTCTGTTTATATTGGTAATTATCTACTGGCAGGTACATCAAAGTAATTTCCTCCAACAAGCAGCTAGCTAACTCGCTCCTACCGTCACTCTAGAAAATGGCCAAGTGCAACCACCTCCTAAAGCGTAGTATAGCGGGTTTGGGTTTTAATGTCAACCCGGGTCCTAAGTGTGATGACTACTCCGTGAGTTCTTATTATTTAGCGGTGAAAATTTAGTGTAGGTCCAAACAAGCAAACAAGCAAAGCAGGTAAAAAGGTTGTTTTCAAGTCGAGAGAGGTCACCCGGATATGGTTCCCCCTAGACTGCAGTTGACACGCTAAAACAGAACACCAAACTGCGACCAAATGTAATCGCAGTCCGGAAATGCAGTAACAGGCAAGCTCTAATGTCAAATCGGGGTCTATATCTACTGCGTACTCCGTGAATATCTATTATCTAGCCAACTAAGTCAAGTGATTGCTGATTTAAGTAAAAGTAGTAAGAAAGCAGGAAATGGTTCGGTTTTCTAAAGCAAAGGAATAGTCATTCGGGAATGAGTCCCCCTAGCTCTTTAGTTAGGTCTCAATTGTAATTACCCTGGGTTGATTTACTATTGATTACACTGCGGAAGATCCGACAGTAGCTTGGAATCTCTTAAGCTGACCAAGTCCTCTCAGTCCAACTACCCGGCAGACCACTAGTCTTCACCGGGATAGAAATCTGAGGCTATGAACGCAGAACTCCACTACGGGAATTAGGTTCCAGTACAAAGCAGTAGATTGATTAACTCTCGTATAACCAATATACCACTACCGAATGATGAAGCTCTAACAACCTAATCAGATTCTGTCTATCTCAGGTTGCAGCAGAAATCAAGAAAAGATTATCAGACTTCAATTGATTCAATGAATCATGCATCATTCGATTAAAACCAAACAGTATAGCAATCCCAAGTCATTACAATCAAGATCCCTAACACATGGAACTACGGTTCTTCATACCCAAGTGAGAGAAGGTTCTACTTCATAGAGAGAGAGGGAAACAGAATACAAAGCAGTCATGCTCATAATAATGGGAAGAATCTTCTCTGGGATGTCAATCTTCACTCCTCTGATGATCTCCAAGCTCGATTGCTGAAACCCAGCTCAAAAATCACCTCTTAGGGGGTGTTCTTCGCACTTTCTCTCTCTAGGGCTCTGTTTTTGCTCCAAAAAGTCGATTCCCTCTCCTTTGGTTCGAAATTGGGTAAAATCCAGATTTTCCCGACCACACGGCCGTGTGACTTTCCTAGCTTCCCGTGTGAGTGTGCAAAACGCGGTGTTTCGATTAAGTGGCTTCGGTTTCGCTACACGGCCAAAACGACACGACCGTGTGTCCTTCCAGGCTGCCCATGTGGAAATCATCGAGCCTTCACACGGCCACAATGGGTCCCCTACACGGCCAGTGTGGCTTGCCCGTGCAATTTGGTGCCACACGGCCAGGTCACACGGCCGTGTGGGTTTTTAGGCGTGCCCGTGTGGAATTTCCAGCTTTTCGTCAAACGTCCCAACTTCGTCCAATCGACCCAGAACTCATTCCCAAACCTTCATTCACGTACTAGGACCTGAAATATCACAAAAAAGAACAACCTAGCGTGAAATCGGCCTAAAACACAAGAGATGAGACTCAAACGGTACAGGAGTGGTGGACAAAAACATGTGTAAATATCGAGTCATCAAATTCCCCCACACTTAACCGTTTGCTTGTCCCCAAGCAAACCAAGTCAGAGACAAGTTAAGCTCGCATATTTCAATCATACCAACATTGGGGACAAATCATAGAGGCACAGAACACGCGGATCGTACTGGCTTTCAAACATCATCACATGAACAACTTCAACAGCAACCTAGACAACCACAACAGAGGACATTCGAGTGCAGTAAAGTCAGATAAAGGAAGAGTCTCCTTTCTGTTCATCAACCAACATAGACTTGACTCAACCACTCACTCAATACAGTCACCTCATGCACAAAACTCAAGATACCAGAATTGAGACCGATGGGGTCAGGACAATTTGATGCGAAAACTACGCATGCTTATTCTCTCAATCCCTAACGTCTCTTCACCATGAAGGCAGCCTCTAAATGTTAGAGTTCACATATGAGGTGTCACCACTAACTAATCCAGAGGTCTTAGACACAGGTTCATATGACTGGCTAGGGTCTTGGACATGGGGAAAAGGCCTTTTAGGTGGTGGAAATATTCATAGCACAAGGTTCCACATTTCCAAACCCAACACAATCACAGTCAATCAAACCACTTACTTTCTTTCTGCCATTCTGCATTACTCACATTCTTTAGAGCACAAGAGCAAAGGAGGTCATATAAATGTTAGCATTTCCAAGCCAGACTGCTAAGAAACACTACTTATTGGGCACTTTTCAGATTTTTGGTGGTGGCTCTCTTTTGCTTTCATTCATTTTTTTTTCTTTTTGTTTTCTTTTTCATTTCTTGATAGAACCACCACCTATGCACACTTTTCAAACACATGCCCAAATTTTTAAGAACTACCTCCAACCCTCACATCTTATTCAGCAGAAACAGCAGAGAACATATAAAAATCACTGTGGAAACTTCTAAGAGATGCAAAAGGGTGATTTTCCATTGTAGACCGAAAGAAAGGATAACACACGGCTCAAAGGGGCTGACTAGGGGGTATGACACACCAGGACAGTCAATTTGGTCGTGGGCTAATCCTATGCCTCCATCATCTTAGCTAATGACAACGTGAATGCTACACATCATGGAAGAGGGATCTATCGCACAAGAAAGAAACGAACAGACTCAAATCTCACATGGCTACCTATATGCTCTATCTCTCATTCTGATTCCCTTAACTAGATGCATAAAAGACTGTCAAGAACAAGTGATCAATCCAAGTCACAGTTGGTAAGAAAACAGTTGAAAAACTGAACCCCTACACAATTCTACTGCACGTCTCAGTCATCATCATAGGTTGTCCTAGTTACAATCAAGATGTCATGCAATAATCCGAAAACCATTCGATTCACCAATCAAATCACAGTGCCAATACGATCAAGCAAACAGCAGTACTTGGAGTCCTCAAATCTCGAGATTTGGACAGCGGACTAGGCTCCAAGCACACATATATAGATTACAACCGATACAAAGCACCCCCCACACTTAGGCACGACATTGCCCTCAATGGAGCATAGGGAGAGATAAGGGGAACGATGTTACCTGATTGAAATACTGTCGGGAGACTAGAAGTGGACTAGTCAGCGGGAAACATAGGGAACGACGGAACAGTTCTACACGAAGGGAACATAAAGAACACACTGGCACACTGTGCGTTAGGGATCAGAGTTGGCCCAGATGGCCACATAATAGACAATCCACAAAAGAAAGAAAAAAAAAACAAACGACAGACTCAGTTTAAGCTCCGCACACACATGGAGCAAACACGAAAAGTTTGAAAAAAAAACCACACTCTGAGGGGCGACGAGTACAGACTACTCATCGCCAAGGTTGTCCAAATCGATGTCGTTCACGAAGGCATCATCATCAGCTGGCAGGGGTGGAAGTGGAGAGTCCTCCCAGGGAGTCCTCCAGACTGGCTGCTCGACCGGTAGCAGCTGGAGCAGGTGCTGCTGGACCTCCTGCATACGCCGAGATTGGGCCTTCTCCCGTTCGATGTGAGCCAGGGTCACCCTCTGCTGGGTCTCCATACGATCAAGGCGCTCATCATAGGCAGCCATCCAGGTCTGATACTCTGCCTGGTGAGCGGAGTACTGCTGCTGAAACTGGAGATGATGGTCGAGGAGTTGCTGATTCTGGAGGCTCAGCTGCTGGAACTGGTGAGTGAAGTAGTCATGGGATGGGAAAGTGGAACTCTACCCCCGTACTCGAAGGTGGTCGGGCGAGGGGCATCAGCATCAGCATCATCCACATCCTCGGGGTGGACATCCTTAGTAGCCTCATCCTTAGGAGCATCGGGCTGGTCCTCCGCTGGGATCTGAGGTTCAGGAAACCCCGCGATCCACTTGACGCCACACTCGACTCGCAGCAGGTGCATATTCTTGATCGTGTCTTCGCCAAAGACACTAGTGCCTCCCTGCTCTGTGCAACCCTGCAGTGGGATCTGGAAGTCGGTGGCCATGCGGGTGATGAGGGGAGTGCAGTGTAGGCTCCGCAGTTCTGAAGCACTCTTGTCAAAAGTCCTGGCCACTACCGATCCCAGGTGAAGAGGATGGTCCACCGTGCGGATGGACTGGATGAAGTACATGGATCTCTTAGTGAGGGTGCTGGCACTGTCCCCAGCTGGAGTGTAGGACTTTGCCAGCATGTGGTGGAGAATGCGGTTATCGAGCTGCAGGGTGCTGGC